AACGAACTCGCGGAAAATCCCCGGGATAAAAGCGCGGACGCGGAGACGAAAGTAGCGCAACAGTGCTGCGGACCCGGGATGTACGTACATATATACGAATAACGAAATAGAGAAAATAGTATTTCAGTTATTAAGTTAGGGAACACAATGAAACTGCACACTCGGCCGAAGTAATTCTCGAATCACGAGCATAGGGAAGAAACTGTAACGACGCGCTCGACAAAAACGTTCCGCCGGACATTATCAGTTATCCTTCTCTCAAAGGATTCTAGCCGATTACGTATCGCCTCCGAATATCCTTCGCTAATCTAATCAAACTTAATCTCTTGGGTACGTCGACTACAGTCGACAGTCGCTAAAAGCATTCCTACAGCTGAGCATTGACTAAAGTCGACGATCGCCAAGAGCATACGTACACCCTACTGTCATCTTTAGTCGACTGTTCATCCTATTCTTTGTTATAAATAGCCTGTCAATTTTCTTTGTTGCAATTTTTCGGTTTCAATAATTATTAGACTTTTCAGTTTATAAGTAAGGTATATAATAATTAATAACCATTGGATTTCACTCAGTTTATAAATAAATAAATCCTGCGCTACGCTTGCTCGTGGTCATCAAGTGATATTACGCGGCGGACGAGCGCCAGAGAGATTAATCATGCGTGTAATCACGCGCGATTGCCGCCGTTAATAATTTAATCGAGTAATCAGTCATTTGATATTTGTGTACCTGTGTAAGATCTTGTTTACTTAATAAATTCACATTATCGTCACGTATAAAAATATATTCTAAAGTGGTAACTTTCATTCTTAGATGTGTATTTTAAATAACAATAATATTTTACGAAATAATAAATTCCTCACGAAAAATATCTTGTTAGAATAAGAAAAAAATTAGTTAGTGTAGGAAAAATTTGCCAAATTTTACTGAATTTGTTGTTATCGACAAAACATCTTGTTGGCAAATCAAAAAATGTAATAAACTTAGCAAATTGTTCTTGTAACTAATCTTGTTAAACTTTTTTAACAATTAGACTAGCACAACACAAGCGCGCGCTACGCGCACGCTATTGTTATTTTTATTTAACGTGTTGTCAGTGAACACAACTTGTCACTGTGATGACAGATAGTATATACGTCTTATAAACCATATAATACACATATGAGAAATGTCAGAAATAACGCATGAAAATCAAACTCAAAAAATAGTGAGAGAGAGAAGT